TTTTTTAAAGCACTTTGTGGTATTGTGGAGATGGTCAACCAATCAAAACTGTAGGCAAGGGGCACTGTGATTTTTCCACGCTTGTTGATTCCCTTCACCACCATTCGCGCTTGGTTCCGCTTTGAACGTTGCCGCACCCTTTTAGATATAGATTTCTTCAGTTTCCACACCCACGGCCTTAGGTATGTGATCGTATCATGATCATATTGATTCGATATGTGCAAATATATAAATAACATTTCCACATCATGTGGCCAGGATGCGCCACCCCAAATACTTTGGTAGGCTTGATAGTTGCATGGCCATAGCACCCCATGGAACTCAGATGCAAATGCTCACTCTGGAAAATGATGTATACATCCATGGATCCATATAATTTTTGCATATATACTGCACATGATGATCACCTGCCTGGCCAAGTAGCAATGACACCTTGGACCAACTGAAGATCCGTTGCGCAACCTTTTGCAAGTAGCAGATATAGGGAAAGTGAACCATGGCACTGGAGGAGGGCTGTTCGATGGCAAAGTACACTCCCCGGCAAAGTCCAATCAATAGTAAAAGGACCATCCGTGAGGTGATCCTTAGATTATTTGGGGGGGCCCATCACCCATGGTCCATGTCCATGTCCAAGTGACATCGATCAATGGTGGGACCTTACAGCAATGATTCCTGCTGGCCAGGCACACGTTCGCGTCCCTTACATACTTGCGGAGGCTGGCAAGACCGAAGGGAGAAGTGCGGGTTCGACCATGAGTATTGGAGTTGATAAACACGAAACTGCTGCAAGGTGGTCCAGCGTGGATGAGGGAACCAGGACGTAGTCGAAGTGTTAGGGCCACCGCCCTCATGAAGCCCTCCCTGAGTGTGTCCATGGCAACCATGAAAATTCCAATGTTCGTATGTGCGCATGCTCTAAGACGTTTGAGGCCAGGACATTGTCAGGATGTCCCCGTGGACTCCTTGTATCTCCTTGTCGAAGGTAGCCCTGAAACTGAAACCCAAATGAACATGGACCGATCTAGGATCTAGAAGGTTTGGTTTTCAAGTTCCAGACACTTTCCAGGCGTTGAGGGATCCATCCTCATAGAAGCCTTACAATAAACCCAATGTAAGTTACCAACTAGTTGGCACGAGTTCACAAACTCGAACCACAAGACGCCAGGGGACGAAATCCATTTGCCACACTGCATTTTCCAGCAAATAGATCAAGATGGTCAATATCCTGAGGGAAGCAGGTAAGAGTCAACAGTTTGGGTTGCTGGGTATGAGGACAGCCCATGCCAAATGCTAGGTATCACGCTCGAGCTGCTTGGTCCACTTGGGATATATAGTCAATGACATGCAGCCTCAAACAACCAAAGTGCAAAACAAAGTGCACCTGTTGGTCCCAAGAAATGGTGCTAGTATCATCTAGTAGTCTTTTTTTGACACCAAGGAACGCCAAGATTGGACCGCCAAGTAGAAGGAACAAGCGTGCTTGGTTTGAAGTAAGGCTCATAGGGCATTTTGCCATAATGAAGCCAAACCCCAACTGATAGAGAAGTTCAATTTCCCTCAAAAAATGGCTACACATGCATGAGGGTTCCAACAATTCAGCTCATGACTTGCACTGCAAGGTCCAAGCACAATGTGCAATGTGCAGTGCACTGAATGCAAAAAGCCAAATTGATAATTGTTTTTTCTTTTCATCACTCCTAAGTCTTGTTGCTATTAGCACGTGTGTAAATGGCACACGTGAGACCCCCGCCAAATTGGCAAACATGTCACACGCACAGTACACCACGCCTGCCTACGATAGATTGCATATAAGATGTCCACGTTTGTTTCGAACGTATCTAGATATATCTAGTATCAATCGAAGCACCATTGCAGGTCTATGACGTGGCTCCTGCGCGGGTCCTCAAAACATCGGGCCCGGGCAATATCAGGCTTCCACAGGCTCCCATCCAGCCAATTTCTTGGCCAGGCACCACCTCAACTCGAAATACGAATTGGTCCCACGTTGCCCCATTACCGTGTCCATGATCCAAGAACTGCATTGATTGTTGGACAGTCATGATCTTTGCAATAAGTCTTGGACGCTGCATACGCACCACCATTCTTGGTCCACCCAAGGGAGACTCCATTGTGACTATTCTCCTCCGGGCGCGCAGCACTTGTAGGAACATAAGAACATAACACTTGTTTGTGTGCATGATATGGGATCCAGGAACACCGGGAACCATATATGAGCCGAGTTGCAGCAACTTTCAGGTCAAAAACCTGGTTCACTGCGTGCAATCGCTCTTCCGGCACTGGCTTGACATAGTAGGATCGGGTGTACATCCTTGGCCAAAGCCGGGTTGCATGCACTATTGTAATTGTTTGATTAGATTTAGATTAGATTGCATATAATTTGATGGGTGTAGCACCCAATGTTCATTCCAATAAATATATTTGAGGATGCCACAAAACCCCAATTGGTGCCGCAAACTCCTTCGGACAGTACTTCTTCAAGCACTCCTTGGGAAGGTAGAGAGTGAAGGACCTCAGATTGATCTCCCATGCAGCAGCAATATACGTGATCTAATTCAATTCATGCATATCAATCAATGCACATCCATACTATACTTTTTATACAATTCAAACAATAAATAATATGCAAAGTAGCTTTCTGACAGAGCCATCTGGCTTTTTTTTCTAGAAGAAACTCTTCAACGTCAGCACCATTCGGAAGCTTGAAGTAAACGGGATCACGAAGTGCCACCTCCTGTATCTCGCTGAAGCCCACCTCCAGAGTTAAGCAAGCTGATGAATAAAACAATTGTGAGATTGTGATTCAGCCAAATGTCTCACACTTCTTGGTGTGCTGGACCAGCTGGATGAAAGACTGATTTTTGTGGGGGGTATCAAGGAACTTCCCTATGGACTTGTCCCCATACCCCATTGCCTCAGGACCACTGTTATGCTTCCTTTTGGGCTCTGCCTTTGCCTTGGGCGCAGCTACCTCTCTTCCTTTGAGTGCTTTGGCCCCTCCATCGATCTCTGAGTCAGCAGCCTCATCAAATGCTGGAGTCAGCTTGCGGGCCACTGGCTTGGCCGCAGGCTTTCCCTTCGCAGCCTTGGCACCCCTTGCCATTTCCAAGGCCTGCTTGGTCCGCTTCGATGGCCTCTCCTCAACGTCTCCGCTCGGAGCATGGCGCTTCTTGGGGCTCCACTTCTCAGCCGAAGCTATGAGTTGCTTCGCTTTGGTCTTGCTGATCTTTGGCTGCGGCTCTTCACGTGCCTCTGGCTCATGAGGCTCCTTTGGCTCCTCTGCCTCCTTTGGCTCCTCTGCATCCTCAGCCTCCTTGTCACGCTTTCTCTTGCTTGCCTTTGGTGGGGTCTTGGCTGCCTTCTCTTGCGCAGATCTTCCCCTGGCTTTTCCTCTTCCTTTCCCCTTTGATTGCCCTCGTCCTCGTCCTCGCCCTCGGCCTCTGCCCTTCTTCGCACCTTCTTCAGAATCTTCTTCCTCCCTGAGAGCTCTGTCAGGGTCCTCATGGTCCTCGTCTGCTCCCTCCATCTCCTTTGCAGCCTGCCTCATTTTGCGTTGAGCCTGCCAGGAACAAGAGTCAATGCAGAGTTGGAGTGCCTTGGACATGACCAAGAATTCAAATAGTCAATGCTTGCACTGGTATGTTTAACTCAAGATCCAATAGAAGAACTGAAGAAGGCAACAATTGACGACCGGCTTGCCTCTAGAAGGTCTTCTTCAGAACATGGGATGTTTCTTGTCTTCAGCAATTCCCTCATCAGCAGCATGCACTTATCCACCACCTTGTCATTGTGCAAAGGTGCTGTTGCACGCAAAGGCTTGCGGTCCTTGAAAGTTCCTTTCTTGGTGCCATCCGCATCCTCGCCATCAGAGCAATGCCTGTCTTCCCAAATCTCCTCCTTTGCCTCAGCCGCCGCTTCTCCAGATGCATTTCCACTTCCTCCACTTGCTCCACCTGTAGCAGTCGACGTTGTGGGATCAGAACCAGCCTCATCCGGGGTCTGATATGATTCATCATCGTCACGATCGTCCGGCATTTGGCTGTCATGCAAAAAAGCCTGGTCAATAGCCGCTTGGCCAGCAACGTGATCAACCTTCTCCATCTTGCTCTCCTCGGCGTGAGGCTCCTCAGGCTTTTCTGGCTGGCCCTCCTGGACCTCATGAGGCTCCTCAGGCTTTTCTGCCTCGCCCTCCTGGACCTCATGAGGCTCTTCAGGCTTCTCTGTCTTCTGGCCACTTGGCACCTCCATCACCTCAAGCTGTGCACTGTTGGGTTCGACATGCACGTCAACCTCCATTGGCTTCTCCTCCTCACCTTCGTCTTCAATGTCCTTGTGCTCACCTTGGTCTCCTGCAGGTTCTTCAGTCTCCATTGGGAGTGGCAAAGTATCCACGTTGTCAGGATTGATGGAATCTGCTCTTTGGACTTCAGCCACACCTGCCCAGAGCACAATTTGGCATAAAACAGTGAAAAGCTGCACCCCAACCTGCAGGTTCCGCTAGACCAGTCTCCACGACCTCCACGACCTCCACCTCGTGTTCCTCCTCCTCCTCCTCCCTGATGTTGCTGAGATCGGCCTCCTGCACATAGAAGGCCTCCTGCCAAGCTTTGAAACTACAACATGCTGCAGTGCTCTGGCCTGCTTGCTTGAAAACAGACTTCGACAGAAAGAAATATGACCCTAGCCTTAGATTTTGATCGCCCCCGGCTGGCCACCTTCTTACCACAGTCGGTGAGCATGCCCTCCATCTGACGGCAGGTGTGCATTACAGGAATATACAGGCATGCGTGCTATCATGGAGTCTAGATTGATACGCTGGTTTTGGCACACTGCACCTCCAACTTCTTGCGAATGACATCTTTGATGATGGCCATTTTGGACTTCGATGACCTGGCCAATCAATGCATGATGCACCAATCCAACCTTTTGGATTGTGACATCAAGCATTCAAAGATGTTGAGGAAATTGCCTTGCTTGTGGATTCTTTTGGAACCGTAGAAGGCAGTAGCTCATGAAGGACCTCTGGATTCCTGCCTCTACCGAGGCCCATGCCTGGAAGGATGGAAACGCATATAGTTGATTGCCCGCATGCTGGTTTCAGAATGCAATCTTTAAAGTATTTTATCCAAGTGGCCACATGGGCTGCATGGTTTTCAAACTGGTTGATGGCAAAATGCTCGCTTGTCCAACAAAGAGCTGCCTGAACACAGAGCGGAAGTGAACTTTACCAATTTTTTTTTAATATAAAATATACGTCATATATTCTGTCAGATGCACATCATGGCACAGGGACTTTGAATGACTGGTAAAGGATGGTAAAAAAGCAAATACCGAATTGAACTGGCCTTCATTTCACTCTCTGATGGCAAGTTGTGACAAAAGCTGGCCAGGAAACTTGTGCAAAAGGAAGCGTTGTCTTCCTGCTCCACCTGCAGGAGAGAAGGGACATGGTCCTTGACAACTTCATGAAGGGGATGTGGACATGGCACCTGCAAACACAATAGGAGAGATGAAGAGAGAAGGGACATGGCCGTTGGCGACCTCACGAAGGGGATATGCACATGGCTTATGCATGCGTGTATACCATATAGCTCAATAGCTGCGCCTCGTTTTCCTGTATCCCTTCTTTCTTGGAGTAGCGCATGATGAAGGTGAAGCCAGGAACCTGAGATTGATCGAAGAGACTGGGCCCATTAATTAATATCTATTTGGCGATCAACACCGCACTAAAAACAACGGATGTACAGGCCATCATGAATTCTTGCTTGCCTTGGTTCCAAAACCCCATGAAGACAGGACACTGTTGGATCAGCCTCACTGATTTTTTTCCTTTGCCGCAGCAGCTTGCGTCGCTGCCGGAGAAATTCAGCATCTTCAACCCACTCCCTGTAAAACTCCTGACAGCCCGTGGGCCCACACATCACTCCATTGTCCCAAACAAAATACATGTTCCATTCATGCCCACCGATGACACCTACCGGCCTTCAGGAGGCTGACCCGCTCAGAGCTGCAAGACATGGTGCCACCAGTGCAAAGAAGCAAGAACCACACTGCGCCGGATGGAGCCAGGGGCTAACAGGTTTAAACATGAGATCACGGGTGCATCATTTGATATCACGCATTTGGTTTTGAACTCTCTCTTTTTGATAAAGGGGCGAACAAATGCTATAGTAGTACCAGTGATCAGGGGCCTAGGGTCTTTGCCAAAAAGAGAGATTCAAAACATCAGCCCCAATCGAACTTCTCCAGCCTATCGGATCAAGCCCACTCAGCCGGGCACACTCAAGGTCCTCATAGACCCCTTGGCAAAAGGGATGGTACAACGCAGATCCACTGAGGAAGTAATCCAAGGATCCCACGTTTCAAACGGTTTCTTTTTGCAGTTGATGGCATCGTTGTGCCTTGGAGAGGAATCAATAAACATGATTTTCCGGAAACAAATCATTTAGATCTGCAAGTGAGGCCCCAACTCAATGGTGATGAACTCCACCAACTCCATATAGGGCCAATGAGGCCACCACATTGGCAAATGAGGCGAAGCAGGTGGTAGATTTGGGAAAAGAATGGAACAGATGCCCCTGTGGCCCTGTGGACATGCAATGGTACCAAATATGATTTAAATTCATATCTTTTGTAAGTTCTTTTGTCATTGTCAACCATGTTCGAGCAAAAGAGCTTCCTAGCAGTCCAGAAGCTCTCGAAAAGCTCAGAAGAAATGTCGGTTGTTAGATAAGAATGGCTGCCTGACAACAGCCTTTTTTAGAATGGTCGACGACCGGTAGGGTATAT